TCTCTCTCTCTGTATCTCTCCCTCTCTAGTTTATCTAATTTAGATCAAGATCTTCCTAACAGTATGATTCATAATGTACCAATAAAGAGTTTACCACAGGATTGGTTATGGTGTGAGACATGGTGTTCAATGGAGACAAAATCAACTGCTAAAACTATTGACTTGGTAAGTTGGTATGATACTACTAGTACATTATAGATAGTAATGAACAGTCTAATACACTACATGTACATATGGTGGGTATACTTAGCTTGTGCTGCATATGTTGTGATGGAACAGTTAAACTTGAATAAGCCTAGCTACTTGTAGTTTACACGTGCCGCAAAATGCAACATAAAATTCAAATTTTACCAATTTTGTGTCAACTTCAAAGCATTTTTGTGTGAAAAAGTCAGATTGCCCACACTATGTTAACTTTTACTTCAACTGTAAATTTAGCTTTACATGCAATTGTATGAACTAACTTGCTATGACATACAGACTATATTTCTTTTATTATTATTCTTCTCTTTCTCTCTCAGTGTAATAATCCAATGACAAAGGAGCCTAAGTTAACAAGTGCAGTACGTATCATTGATGAATGGGTTGACTATGATAATGAGATTAAAAGATTGCAAAAGGAAACAATGACAGAGACAAGTCTCCCTACCTCTCCCTCATCAACTCACACTCCCTCTCATCAAGAACTGTAATTATTATTATTATTATTATTATTATTATTATTATTATTATTATTATTATTATTTTCATTTGTAGCTGATAATTTATTAATATTTTCTCTTTCAAATATTTATAAATATTTTTGAAAAGCAATAATTTAAATTAATTTGTCACTGATTGGTGAAGTCCTAAATGTAAATGTAAATGTAACTGGTCAAGTTATGCCTATTCATGTCCATCAGTGTGAGTGTATTGAGGATATCTAGTCCATTGCAATTGATGTGTTATTTATGTAAGTTCTACTTGCATAGGTAACTTGTAATTTAGTGTGTGATATTATATAGAATTGAATGTACATGTACAAGTAGCTACTTCGGTTCCTTCATTACTTTATACATGTACGTAATGGATGTATAGGTATTAAATTAATTTTATCTGTATACTAGCCCTTAGGTTGTTGGCTTCATTTGAACAACTGTAGAAATTCAATAAGTTCAATTTTGATCAGAATCAGCTATATCTTAATTCTATGTATTGTAACATCAGGACATGTATGTGTGACTGTGTCAAAAGAATTATGAAAATGTAGAATGTCACCATCATGAAAATTGAATGTACATGTAAGAATATCATTAAAAATGTCTCTTTACTACCCATGTACATTTACTTACCTCCAACATGACAATCTGACTGGTCAATTACAAAAAGGCATGCTAGAACATGTAATAAAAATGTACATATTACATATACATGTACATGTATAAATTGATAACATTGTAGTTTTATATGGTGTGTGTGTGTGTATCATTTGTCATTTCCTCTTTCTCCAGCTGGTCATTCTCAGGATTCTTGCGTACTGGTTGAACTGTGCGGACATGTTTAAATATTTTATCATCTCTTTTATAAACATTTTTATTAAAAATTATATCATCATCATTATTATTATTAATGTGCTTTTATTCTTCTTTATCTTTTTTCTTTTTATCTGCTCCTTTTTGAGAGAAATACATTGAGAATGGAAAGTTATAAACAAAACTGACTTGCTGAAATGGAGTAAGGTCAGCTAGAGAAAAGTTATTAAAGACTGAGGGAGAGATAGAAATAAAGGAGAGGGAAATAGAAAGAAATGATGACAACAAAGAGAGAGACAGTGACATGAGTGTGTGTCAGTAAGAGAAGGAATGTACAGTATATACTGGAGGAGAGGGAGAGATTGATGAGAGATCAAGAGATGTTCATGTGTTAGATTTATGATAATATAATGTGTTACTGGTCCACCTTTTATCATGTAAAGTAGTGTATTCTGATTGGTTGCTTATTGGTGAAGATGAACTGACTTGGTATAATAATTGTTGTATCAAGAGATTATTAATAAGTTCACATGAAGAGTGATTAGTACCACCAGTCTACTCTGTCTTGTATGAGGTGATAGTTAGGATAAGTATTAATACAAGTCTCTTTGTGTCGCTCGTCTAGCCTGAGTGTCCTTATATTCTTATTTTCCATTAGGAACTGGAGGATGAGTAGTATTGACTCAGTAGACAATGAAGTATGACTTAGATTCAGTTCAACTAGTGATGAGTTATTGAGGAGGAGGTGAGAAAGAGCCTGTCCACTAGTAGAAGTGATGAGAGGATTATAAGAAAGATCTAATGAGGTAAGTGTAGAATTGTGTTCAAGTGCTTGACAGATATTAGTAACTCCTCTATCACTAATGGAGTGGGGACTGATTTCTAGTTCTTGTATTGTTTTATTATTAGTTAGTAGTATACACAAGTACTGGATACAATCATTAGTTAATGGAGTGGCCCATATCTCAAGTCTCCTCAGGTTTAGTGTATGCAGTTTAGTTGATGATAGTAGAGATACTGTACTATTAGTAGATGAGTGGTGGAATTCAATCTTCTTATGATTATTATTAATAGTACGAATCACTTCATTACACTGAACTGGAGATGGAGAGGTAAGGAATACCCAGTCTCTGCCCCAGTCCACACTCCCAGTGACTCCTAATATAAACCAAAGGATTATACTTAGATACATGTACATGTAAGTACATAATAATACACATTCACATCATGTGTATACACGAACACACACAACTTCCATAAACAAATACAGGTACAGCTAGTAGTTGTCACTGACTGACTGTATTATGTGAATGTGTGTGTTTGTTATAATGTATTAAGTATATACAGAGTATGAAATTTGAAGTAAAATTAGTGAATCTATTTTATACACAATTCCTAAGTATGCATGTACACATGACATTACATGTACATGTTCATGAATAATTATACTGACTGTCACAATAATCAGAAATAATTATTACCTTTATCATGTTGTTCCTTATCTTGTCTCAGTGCAGATATCATAATAGGATCATCATTAATAGTCTCCAAGAAAAGAGAAGCTTTCTCATCATTACTAAATGAATCATTCCTTATCTTCTGTAGAATAGGAAGGGACACTTCTTCCAATGACAGTATAAACTCTAACAATTGAAGTGACTCCAACATTGAGTAAACACAACTACTAGGAATGAATCCCTCATCACCAGACACCAAGGATCTTCCTTTCCACCAAAATCTATCCTCCTTCTCATATATCTCCAGCTGCTCTCCCTCACTGAATGATATTTCATTACTCTCCATTGCATGATAGTCATAATGAGCAATAAAAACAGATTCTGCTATTGGTTTATTCACTATATACCAGTGATACAATATATCAATCAGAAATAATGAAACATACCTTTATCATCATCTTCATCTCTCAATTCAACAGTTTCAGTTGCAGCTGATGAAGTCAATGTAAGTTGTTCTCTCCACTCTGATTAATAAATTAATAATTGTCAATAAATAACAACTATACTGTACCTTTTATTACATCTCTATATTCTTCATTCTCTTCCCTTTTATTTAGTAGATGTACACTCATTACTGATATCTGTTCTTGCAGTTCAGCTATTTCTCTCATAATATCTATTAATGATTCATTCTGATCCAGTAAACCTATCATAGTATAATTATAATACACTAACACATACATTATGATTCAGTACCAGTTTTATTTGTTAATAATAATTGCAACTGTTCTATTTCCATTCTCATTCCTCTTCTAATTCTGTATAATGCTATAAATAACAAAATAATTATAATTATAATTATCATGATTTAAACCTGAACTAGAATTTTTTGGTAAAGACTGATGTTGTGGAATTTCCTTTACTCTCATTTCTACATTACTTCAATTATGATTAATAAAGTTTTATTATACTTACTTGTTAGTGTTTCTTCTAACTGTTTGTTTGTTTTTATTTCTTTTACTAATTGTCTATTAATTATTGTCACACTTGTATCAGTTGATAGTATATCTGAAATATAATAATTATTCATCAATTATAATACTCGTCAACAACCATTACATTATTGTTTTCTCATACCTCGATTAATTACTGATTGAGGTGTTGCTCCTTCTGTTTCTTTCTCCTCCAGTCTTGCTACTCTCTCTTCCTATTAAGTTAGTTTAATAAAATAATCAAATACAATTTATTATACCTTTGTATCATGAGGTTGTTCTTTTATCTCTTGTACCTCCTCTTCCAGTGGTTCCTGTATTTCCTTTATAATACAGTATATAATGATAATTACTGACAGTATAATATACATACTTGTATCTTTG